GCTGTGCCTCCCCTCGGAGGACAGCGAATAACGCGAGGGACGGCATTTACCAGAGGTCTGCGGCTTCCCGTGAGCTTCTTGGCAGTTTTTTAAAAACATACCCTGCAGTTACAGCATATAAAGATATTTTCCTCCGATTTTTGTTTTCTCTTAGTCCCCTTTAAATGAAATAACGCCCTGGAAGTTATTAAGGACGTCATCATTACCATTTTATTTAACCAGTATGCTACAATCTCCCATTTCTGTAAAAAAACCCCACAAGTATCAGTGATGCTGTTCCCTGGCAGGCATCACAAATCCTTATTACAGCATTATTAAACAAACATACCAGCTTTCCACCACCTCTCAGCCCCCAAAGTATCAATTAAGATGCTTACGATCCATGTCAGAGCACCTGTCCTTCTAAACCCCAGATTGTAAAATGTAAACAAAAGGTTCAATTCACATTTTGCTCACTCATTTAATCCCTCACCCATTTGAACAGGCATGTATAAGCATATACCTACAGCTGTGCTGAGAAGTTTTTTCAAGTAGAAAATGACATTTTAGAAATTAAACCACAGAACTTCCAACAAAGATGCAATTTCCTGTCTAAACTGCAACTTTCCTTTATAAAACGCCCTGGGTAAACCCCCGCCTGCCACAAGCAAGGCCTAACGCTTTAATCCACGGACCAGGGGTTGTTCAGTACAAACAGCATCACTGTACAGGAACCAGAGGCAGTCATGGCTGCAGAAGTTTGTCACCCAAGGACATGACTCTAAATGCTTTTTCCACTGCAACTGTCTAAGAGACATCACAATTTAGAGAAGCAAATGTCTGTGGATTTGTCTGGTAAAGATTCCCCAATCAAATTAGTGTTTCAAAGATAACCCCAGAGCAGAACGTAAAAATAACTTTTTTTTTTTTTAATTTACAGGATAGAGGCGAGTTATCATTGAGGTCAAGAAAACCAGGAATTCCTTCGCTTTACCATAATGAAAGCACATAGAAACACTTTCTTACTGCCCATTTGAAAAATAAGCTGATACTACTTTCCATATACCCTGGAAAAATACCACTAATCCTAGTTTGACAACAAAATTGTAATAGCTTTGGTAATAATTTTCTGTGCTTCCGCTATCTTCGTTCAAAACGCTTTCACAATTCACATTAGCACACTAATGCAAGTCTTTTTTAAAAGCACTACAAGTCTTTTTTGAAAGCACTACAATCACTCTCGAGCAATCCCTGTGCAACTTCAGAATCTGGGTTGCCTACAGAATGGCAGGAATGCGGCATTAGCTGACATCTTGTTTCCTGTTCCTTTGGATGAATATTTTCATACTAAAAAGCCGTGCCAATCTCACAACGTATTCCACAAGGATACAATAGCCATAGTTGCACTGACAAATACAGTGATAGCACAGATGAGAGTTCTAAATTAGGAATGTGTTGAGATTTGCACTTAAAGGCATCACTAAAATCCTTCTGTTTCACACTTTGATGATTATGCTTTCATTTGTTATCCAAACTTGATATAGTGATTCTTCAAAAGACATGACAGTTTTGGATATTTCTGTAACTCTGCACAGATAGCATTTAAAATATTTTTTATTTCCTCCCATATTTCTTTACATTTACAATGAAAAACAGATAACTACATGAAAATGGAAACATTTGCAGAAACACCGAAACATTGAGGACATCTTAGGTACACAAATATACCTACTTCATCCACTGGCTTAGGAATCCCTGGACTGAATTAATTTCAATTTAAGAATACAAACAAAAAAAAAGGGGGGGCAAAAACTTGTACAAACTGAAAAGCGTGCAAGGAGTCAATGTTTCAATGCATGGTATAAGAGTATACTTGTGTAATCATTAGTTAATTAGATGTCCCATTTATTTTATTGCCAAGAGCAATTTCTGTTTTCCATTAGCTATTTATGCCACTTTCCCACAGAACTTGAGATGAATTACCATCAGCACTGTGCCTGACTACATGAGAGAAGGAAGCACCATCCTGTTTTAATCTGCCCCTGGGGAGGTAACAGTTAGTATCTTTGCAACACTGCAAAGGCTACTTCCAAAAAAAACCTCACAAAAATAAAAGCCTTCCTATGTCAACATTAGGTAGCACTTAAGAGCATTAATTGCTTTTATGGCCTCTCTTGATCTATTTGGCCTCCATTGCTACATTTAATATTTATACCTGCACCTAAAGCATTTACACCAAGGATGAAATAGAAAACTAAGTATTTCTCTATAAAAACAGTATGCTGCAAACAACTTCAGCAAGCTTTAAAGGTTATGCATCAGTCCAGCATGACACCACAAGCTGTAAATGCCTCCTCAAGTTAGTGACAGCGTCTGCCACGCAGCATCTGTCAGAAGTAGGCAACAAATCTCAGTTACAGCTGGTAAACATGTATTCCATGAAATTTGTACTTCCCAGGCTTTATACACGCTGTTCCCATAGAGGTCAGTGGGACACCACACAGCTCTACGGGATGATCTCATTTATAACACGGACACACAACTAATTTAGACAAGCCCAAAACAACACTGGTTGGGTGACGGTTTCCAACCAACTGTTTAAAATCAAGCACACTGGGAATTTTATCCTGGCATGCTAATCAGATCACATGCTTATTGCACAGCTGAATCTTTACATTCAAGACCTCAGGGGAAAAGAAAAAAGTAGAAGCAGCTAAAACAGAATATTTAGGAAAGTGGTCTGAAATTAGGAAAAAGGAGCAGAAATATTGGTAGTATCAAACTAATGCAAAATAAAGGCCAGTTCTGTTATATCTGCACGTTCTTATTTTTAGATCAATGACTTAAAAGTTACAGGTGTATTTACTATACAATGCCTTACAAAAATCTATTTTTATATTATCAAGAGATCTATAAATAGTCAATTACATATTTCTGAATGTTTCTTCTGGCAAATAGTTTTTGTTTCTGCAGCAAGACGTTTTGGAATTTATGCTATTCATGAAGTCCAATATCAGGCTTTTAAGGTGTGTTTCTTCTTTTCCTTTTTTTAATTGGTAGGCATAATGCCACTTACCTACTTAAAAGTGCGGGTGTTAAATCCCCAGATGATTGCAGGAAAAGTGTTGTAAGAATCATTAATCAATAGCAGAAGCTTACAAGGATCCTTGCCATATTCCAGCTTGGACAAGTGCCTGATTGTGCGTGTGTGGTATTTCCCATAGTTGAAATAATTTCTCTCTAATTTCATAATTAAATTAAGTCATATCAGGTTATTCTACTGTGGTCTTTGCAGAACTGGAGAACCATACAGTTGCTAGTATTTTTGTGAATAGTAACATAAGAATAAAACAGCGATGTGCTGTGTGGTTTATATTGAGTGGAGGAAACAGATGAGTTTTATTTCACTCTACTCTAGACACAAGAATTCTTTTGTCTTGTATCATTCAAAATGGCTTAACATTTGATTTCCAGAGAAACTGGTTGCTTATAAAACCTGACAACTGCTTATACATAAGTTTCTTCCCAGAAGACTCAGTCAGGTGCTTGTTTGGGTTGAGAACACGTGATACTTATTACTTCCTATTTCTCATGCAACTCCAGCAGCTGGTACCTCATGACTCACAAGCATGCCAATTCATTCTTGCAGTTCCTCATAGCCTTTTCCCATTAAGACAGTTACACAGAAATTGCAGACCAGTTTATATTTTCTACCACTGAAGTCCATACTATGGAATCTGAGTTTTTTTTCCCCCCTTATCTTCAAACAGTTCATTTTGGACTGTTATGAAAAACACTCTAATCAAAACCTGTTACTATTCACCAATAATGATGTTCAGGAGCAGCTGAAAAAACTTGTACCACATTATGGCCTTGAGCAAACATTCTGGAATATCTGGATTCATATTAGGAAAAAAGCCAAAAATTGCATATGTCATTCAGGAAGGACCACATTCCTGTGCAACTGAGAGAGGACCAAATACCATTTATAGATGAAGTTACACATTGGATTACATAAAAAGAATTTAAGCAGTTAAGCTAAACTACAGATGTCTGCATTTTACCCATTTTGGCCCAAAGATGACATGAACAGTTGCTCTAATGGATTGAGCAGGAACAGCTTTCACATGTAAATGATGTTTAACTGAGCTAGGAATACAAAGGATTTTTCAAGTGTAATCTACTGTCCACAACAGGAAAGTCACTCAGTATTTCAAGTGAATTAGATCTTTTCTCCTCCAAACAACAGATTTTTCCAAACCCAAGCCTTCAGTTGACATGCAATTCACAGAGTCATGAAATCAATGTTAAACCCATAAGATTATCACCATTATTTCTGCTTTGCAATTCCCCCCCAGTTTTTGAACAATGGCATTAGTTTTTTTTCAGGATTCTGTTCACAGTTGTAACAGCTATTCAAAAATACAACAGATTCAATTATTATAACCATTGTAGCTATCAATGCTGGAAGCGTTGTAACAGCTATTCAAAAATACAACACATTCAATTATTATAACCATTGTAGCTACCAATGCTGAAAGGTAAAACTTAGAAAATATCAAAGCTTGTAATAAAACAACATCAATTGGCAACACTGATCTTATTTACTACTGGCAAAAATAAAATAAAAAAACACAGCGGCAAAACTCATTACAAGTATCAAGTCATATTTGGAAGAATGGGAAACTTCAAAGAGGTCAGCTCTTTACTTGCACATGTATAGTTATTCACAGGGGCATCTACCCATAGATGGACGCACATACACGATAACACACCCGGTACAGGAAGACAATGGCTTTTATCTGCTGCAACAAGGAATCAAGGTCCCAGCAACAGGGCTTCTCTTGGCAGCCATTTTGAGACCCTGAGAAGTCCCACACAAACCTCACCCTGCTGCAGCCCCCTGCCTGTACGACACAGATGCAAAGTGCTTGTGAATAATGGCTACCACACAGCGTAAGTCCGTCACCCAAGAGTGAGATATGCACCAGCTGCCATTGAGAGCCCAGAGGTACAGCAGCCGCAGACACCAGGGCTGGCCAGGCAGAGGGGCAGCCAGGAGAAGCACCCCGGTACAGAGAGGGGCTCCCCCACCTTCCTGCCCCTCAGCTCAGAGCAGCAGCCACCCCACAACCCAAGAGGCCAGGCCCACCTCACTCAGAACCAGTCCAGCAAACCACTACCACCAATAAAGCTCTTCCATACAGTCAACCTAACTCTATAGTGTTTCACCTCCCTCCTCTGCCAACACGTGAGCTTTTCTCATCTTTTACAACACAGCTAAAACCTCATAACCTAAACAAATTTCGACTCTTACTTAGGCAGCACCCACAGGCCTGCCTGCCATCTTGAACAGGGGCAGCACACCGCCATCTTGGCTGAGGCTCTTCCTTTTCTACAGCCCGCGGGGGCGGGGCTGAGGGCGGGGCGGGTTATTTATCCGCCTCTCTGCCCGTACCCAAAATGGTTGCTGCTGCATCCTGTTCTCCTTTAGCCGGGCGG